ACTGGGTGCCTGCCGTAGCAAAAAGCAGATTTGACAAAAGACTTAACTCCGTTTCGCTGACAATCAGCCATGCATGAAGACTCTCGTCTAAAATAAATAAATAAATAATATGGTTATTTATATAGCGCCGGTATCCGTCAGGTTCTGACGCTCATGGCGCTACGGCTGATTGTCAACGAAACGGAGTTAAGTCTTTTGTTAATTTCGTTTATTGATACGGCAGGCAGCCAGTGAAAACGAATTCGTTTAATAAAATTATGGAAATGCAAGCACTACTTTAAACAAACAGAACTTTGTCATTCCTCGCTCATTTTTTCTGATTGAGGTGTCATATGAAAGGTCAGAAACTCAACTTTCTAGAAATGTGAACTTTTCTTCGAAATTCAGATACCGCCCGCCAAATGTCTTTTTGGTTTCCTTCCTTCAATTTGATTTTAATCACTCATGCGTAAAGTATGCATCATCTGAGTAGCATCACATGAAAGAGGAGACTCTAAGCTTTCCAAATATGTATCATTCATTAATTATAGTTGTGATTAAGTTATGATAGAACATCGATACTTCTCGGTTTCGTTTTTTCTGGGACGCACTGTACAGTCCAACAAATGTAAATAGTCGCTAGAACATTAAATTGAAGGGGGTGGGGGAGGGGAGGTACTCATCGATTAAATCCGCCTACAGTAGTAAATGGGGTATTGGAATTGCTTCATATCTTGGACATCTTTGTAATCGTGTTTAGATAACAATTAAAACACAGTCATGTGATGAAAATAAATATCAACGGAACATTTTATTGGCACGTGTATCATAAAAGATCAATTCAGTCTGTTTTCAGCTGCTGATTTTTTTATTGAACTCCTCCGTTATCAATATGACCGCAGTTAAAACGAAGACATTTTCGCTGTCAATAAAGGAAACAGCAAAGTTATTTAGAACGAGAGGCATTTCGACCCTGTTTACACAAAACTGACGCTCGATAACGGTTCTAGGACAATTACCCCCTGGGCAATCACCCCCGGAAAATTACCCCCCGGAAAACTACCCCCAAAGGACAATTACCCCCTGGAATATTACCCCCCGGAGAATCACACCCGAGGAAAACTACCCCCCAAGGACAATTACCCCCGGAAAATTACCCCCCGGAGAATTACCCCCCGAGGACAATTACCCCCCGAGGACAACTACCCCCCCCCCCCGAGGACAATCACCCCCTAGGACAATTACCCCCCGAGGACAATTACCCCCAAGGACAATTACCCATGGAAAATTACCCCCTGGAGAATTACCCCCCGAGGACAATTACCCCCCGAGGACAACTACCCCCCGAGGACAATCACCCCCTAGGACAATTACCCCCCGAGGACAATTACCCCCTAGGACAATTACCCCCTAGGACAATTACCCCCCGAGGACATTTACCCCCTAGGACAATTAACCCCCGAGGACAATAACCCCCCGAGGACAATTACCCCCCAAGGACAACTACCCCCCGATGATAATTACCCCCGAGGACAATTCCTCCAATGATAATTATCCCCCGGGGACAACTACCCCCGTGGACAATCAGGATTCAATAGCAAAAGACGATCTGAGACATTGAGAGATGGCTACGAGCCCATAAGATCCCCTGCATGAACCCATATTCTTTCAAACACTATATCACGTTGTCTTCCTCATTACCACACATTTCCCTTTTATTATAATTTATGCAACGCCAGTGCGGTTGCTAATTTCCACGAAGGATGTAAGTTTTAGGTCCAGCGCTTTTCAAAATGCATAGAAATACATTTCTCTGGAGCAGCGTTATTTTAACTTTTTGTTAGTCACGGTACCCTCTTAAGAAATGAAAAGTTTCTCCCATATCCCAAAGTCTTTACAGATTATTGATTTGGCATGACTCTGGCTCGCGTCAAGTGCTATGCACATTTAAGAATAAAAAGGAGAAGACATTTTCAAACTGGTAAAAAATTATTTTGTAATCCACACACTAGAAACTATTTAAAGTACTGTATGCGGGCACCTAGCCGCCAAATGTACATAAGTAAAAAGTGATATATTTGGTCATGATTTTGATACACGAATTTGAGGATATTCGGGCCTCTCGTTGCCCTTATTTACCTTGCTGTCAAAATATTGTCAGCGAGCGAGGAAGGAAGACACTTTAGTATCTTCAACAATTTTATATTCTCATGTAATTACATATTTTAACCGGTTCTGGTATTTGATGTTTTTTACAAAATCAATGTTTTCCAAATCATTCTCTTGCGGCACCCCTATTGAAAAACGCTATGCTGGCGTTACAAAATCAAACGAGATGAATTACCAGAGAGCGGATATTTATTTTCTTTTGACATGGCACCGTACATATAACTTGAAGGCAATTTCTATTTCAAAATAATTTAACGTACACGAAAACATATTACACTTCAGCATGACAACATAAATAATAGATAACGTGAAGAAAACCTCAATTATGGATCATGGCATGGATGAGGGCCCATTATACATACAAAGACAAATACACGATTAGCTGATTAAAAAAGTTACAGAGGATGCATAAAGGAAATCTTACATCCTAATTTCTTTGTTGTGCCATTGATGGTGAGAGAAGCTGTAACACGTACTCATCTGCGCGCAATGTATTTTTCAATTTCTAAGAAATGTAATTTCTGTTCTTTACTCGGTAGCAAAACTACAAGGGGAATTGGGCAACCTCCACCCCCCATATCGAATTGAATAATTTGAAAAGACTGAAATGAACTTCATAAATAACAAAGAAAATGAAGGTTTATGCAATTTTCTGTAAATAGCAATTTGGAGAGAAGCTTGCGTTATACGTCACAGTGTTATAAATTCCTCGGGGGTGTTTGTCATTGGGGGTAGTTGTCCTCCGGGGGTTGTTGTCCTCGGAGGGGGGGGGGAGTTGTCCTCGAAGGGGGGAGGGGTAGTTGTCCTCGGGGGTAATTGTCCTCGGGGGTAGTTTTCCTGGGGGGTAGTTGTCCTCGAGGGTAATAATAATAATAATAATAATAACGTTTTATTTACCCAAGGTAGCCACTTCAGTTATGAAACTGCTTTTCCAGCGGGCCCTGCATTACAAAATATGTTATTACTACCCTTCTCGAATCTAATATGCTGAGCGCCTAGCTATATAGAAGGCAGAAGGTCCCATTGTTATAAGTCTTTTGTATGACTCGGCAGGGGTTAGAACTCACGACCTCCCGGTCATGAGGCGGGTGCTCTAACCACTGAGCCATCATGCCCAGAAGTTTCCATGGGGGGTAATTGTCCTCGGGGGTAGTTGTCCTCGGGGGGTAGTTGTCCTCGGGGGTAATTCTCCGGGGGGGTAATTTTCCGGGGGGTTACTTATTGTCCTTGGGGGGTAATTGTCCTGGGGGGGTAATTCTCCGGGGGGTAATTTTCCGGGGGGTTACTTATTGTCCTTGGGGGGTTATTGTCCTCGGGGGGTAATTCTCCGGGGGGTAATTTTCCGGGGGGTAATCGTCCTACGGGGGTAGTTTTCTGGGGGGTAATTGCCCGGGGGGTGATTGCCCAGGGGGTAATTGTCCTGATACGACCTTAAACATAGATTGTCATTCACTGATTGGTCAAGACTATATCACATGACAAGGAGCATTTCGATCTATCATTGCGTCGTTCTATCAAACCCTGTGATAGTAGTCCAAAACCCTGTGATAGAACTCCTAAACCCTGCGCGACTTTTGCACACAGCGTACAAGATTCCCCCAGCGCGCAACTCACGCGTTGTCACGGCGCTCTAGCTCAAAATGGTTTCAACGCAGCTAAAAACCAAAGTTGCTGTATTTTCTCGTGGTAAAGTTCGACAAATTCATATAGACGGTATAGAACTATTTAAATTTGATGATGATATTGTAGAGGTTGTTGATGAATACGTCTATCTTAGAACGGATGAGGTATGTAAAACAAATATGGACTGCTCTGTAATCGGATGGTGGTGGGAATTATCAATTCCTCGGTGGTGTTCATACCGGCCATTCTATCACCCCCTCGGCTTCGCCTCAAGGGTGATAGAAGGGCCGGTATGAACACCACCTTGGGAGTGATAGTTCCCACCATCATCCTCATGAGCAGTCAATATTTGTATACTAATTACAACACAACGTATGGTATTAATTAGCAAAAGGGGAAGTAAACAACTCTGCCATGTTGCCTATGTTATCATAGTTATATTAGAATAGATATTTCCAGTCAGCGGCGAACACCAACAGTCGAGTTTTATAAGTTAAAGCGATACCTTACTGTGTTGGCTATTTGGATAATCGTGACTTTAGAAATTAAAGGGATAGTTGATTTTTGTTGCAGAGGGCGCTACACAAAATAGTTTTTCGGTGAGATAATGAAAAGCTGAGTGTCAAATATGAAATAACAAAATTTAAATGACAACATCATCTTTGTTTGATCAAAATCGGCTCAGAGACGGCTGAAATATCCATTAATATAACGATTTCTAATATTTGTGGGGCCCCACAAATATTTGATAATTTGAACCAGCCGTTGAAAAAACGAAATAGCGTCTTTATACGTTTCATTTCAGCCAATTTTATGCCGGTGTTTGGCTTTTTGTTTGCTTTTGCGTGTTGGGTATATGATACACTCATCTAGCCGGCCCGTGTATTGTTATTATTTTTGGAAATGGAGCTGAATTAATATGATCGTAGTGGCTAAATTTTACACATTTTGGGGTCTAAAATTACCTTCATAGCAATTTTAGGTCCTACAAGGGGGAATAATATAGAAATGTCATAAATACGAATATGAGCAATAACCATGCACTTTGAAGGCATTTGTGGACTGAAACAAAACTCAACTATCCCTTTAACCTTTAATCGTTTTTTTTTGTTGTTGCTAGGGGTCGATTATTCGTGCGTTGTATCGGACTTCCGCTTTCAGTACAAGAGCAACTCAACGTTCATATCTTTGCAGACTGGAGATTATTGATAAATCGTTTCTCTTTGGAAGCAGGTTCATTAATTTCTGCTTCACTGACACTCATAATGAGTTACATCAATAGCGGGTATTTTCTTTGCAACCTAATTCCGACACCGAACAATCTCAAGTAGCAATTAAGAGGCTAAGCTTTCGTCAAGTATTTTCATGTGTTACTAGTACGTAGTACTGAATATTTAACTTGAAAATATGGACGACTTTTCATCCTTCACCACTAGTAGTACCAATGATGACTTCGTGTTTGAAAGCTACCCCCAGCGAATCGTCATCGCCTCCATCCTCTGTCTCGTCACCGTCGTCGGCATCGTTGGGAATAGCCACGTCGTGCTCGCCGTGCTCCTCTGCCAAAAGTTGAGATCTTCCACCAACTGGCTGGTGGTCAACCTCGGTATGGCCGACCTCATCACCTGTCTCTTTCTTCCCTTCAACGTCGTGGCGATGCTGAGCAAGAATGGATGGCCCATCGCCGAATGGATCTGCGCAATGACCGGAGGCGTCACGCTGACCTGCCTGGGAACCAGCATCATCAGCCTTGCTCTAATCGCTCACAATAGGTGGGTCCTCCTCACCAGGCCTCGATACACATTCTACAGTATCTATTCCAGGCGCAACATTGTTGCCATGGTGATATTATCATGGATGTACCCATTATTGCTTGTCATAGTCCCACCGATGGCAGGACTCGGGAAGTTGGGATATTCAGAAAACTACAAGACGTGTCAGCAGGACACCTCCTTGTCGAACTCGGACTACTACAGCCTCATAGCAGCGGTAGGCGTCATCGTCCCGGCATCTATCATCATCGTTGTCATGTACGTGCTCATCTACCGATCCGTTTCGCGTCATAACAAAGCTATGGGGAAAAGATTGGCCGAGTCGAGGGAAGCCGGGACTTCTAGTTTTGACCGAACCAGTCTTGATATGAGCACGAGCTGGACAGAATCCCGGGATCGGCAGAGGAGTGTAGTCACGGATGGCTCGAGAGCAACTTCTGGAGTTGGTATGCGACCTACACTTCCAAACAGCCGGAACATGGATGGTGCACCTACCTTGACAGGTCCAGTCAACCTTGCACCATCGAATGACGAGGGTGGTGAAAGTCAACATAACATTTCGCATGTTCCAGAAACAACTAGGCCATGCAGTGAAGTCTTTGAACCTGGAGTACTTGCCCTGGGTGAAATAGAGCTGTCTAATGTGAATTCCCAAGCTGAGAATACAGTATCAATAAACGACCATCGCATTAGCCAAGAGAACCTAGAAAACTCGTCGACATCATCCAATCACAGAAGGGCTCCCCAGGCATCCACTCATGGCGCCAAGGGCTCGACTAAAAGCGCGCCAAAGATTTCGCGCCACCATATCAACGTCACCAAACGTCTGTCCTTGGTGGTGCTTTCTTTCTTCATCTGTTTCCTCCCATTCGGGATCTGCGTGATGGTGCCTACCAGCGACCCAGCTGTTCCTTGGGCAAACCTTCTGATCATGTTCAACACTTGTATCAACCCCATCCTCTATGCGGGAACTATGCCGATGTTCCGGGAGGTGATGGGATGTATAGCACGGTGCAGGTTCCAGAGCATCCCGGAGCCCGTCGATCTTGTACGGTTCTGCCGTGGACCTACATAGCGAGCCTGGATGCTAATATCTTTGAAGATTACGTGAAAATTGTAGGCTTTAGAAATTATGTTAATGTAATTTTTGACAAACAAATCGAAAATTAACCAAACCTAGAGATTTCAATAATTTTCGTTTTCTACTAATAACATTATTGATTAAATATTCTTTTTTTAAATTATTACTTAAAGAATAATTCAATCGAACATGACATCAGTTTGAAGTTATTTCATTATATGTGTGCCTTTTCCTGTTCTTTGATTATAGAATGTGGGTAAAATATTTTCGTTTTATTATTTTGAATGAGACTTGAATATAAGACAAGTTCAGTTTTTCATACTATGTAGTCAATGAATTCCATCCGTCCATTGTAATTCCAAGTTATTACGTTTCGGGCATAATTTGTTTTCATAATGGACTGTTCCTGTAAAGTTAGTTTAACGAAAGCGATTTATATTTGTTTGTATTCATATTTACTCTCTTTTGATTGATTTACCCCTCCGATCTTAGTTATATATCTCACATTCTACTCCGTCTTTCTGTAAACCTTCCCATCTCCCTCTCTCTTGCCCTCTCTTGCTCTACATCACTCTCTCTCTCTCTCTCTCTCTCACTCCATATTCTCGTTATTTGTTACCTCAATTTCTATCTCTACTCACCTCTCCCTCTTTCTTCGTTCTTTCAGATCATTTAAGTCATGAATGTCAAAAATAGGAGTAAATTCAAAGTAGGCCTAATAAAATTCATTATTTTATTCATAGAAAATATAGTGAATTAATTTGGTAAAGCTATTTAGAAAAGGTAATGATGTCATGCACATTTCCCACGTATATTTCAATTGGATCAGGTCGGAATAAGGGAAATATTGCTTACATTTGAAAATACGAATATTAAATCTGAAAAGTTTGAACGACTATATTATTCAAATTCTCCTAAAAAAAGTTTATACCATCTGATGATTCTATGAAGAAAAAAAAAATCACATTTTATTTCTGCACGTAACAGATAGCCTGTATGCACGACCTTATGGCATAGTATACTTAATTCATCTACGAAAAACAACCTTTAGTCCTAGAATGAATTTTACGACAATCATTTTTCTTTGTGATTTGATCACGCACCTAAATCAAGTGAAATGTACTTAATTTCTGGAACATTATTGTGTAACATTAACATCAACATAGTATGTAAACATATAGAACATAATTTAGCAGCATTGCGTCTACATTCTCTTTTTAACACAAAGTTAATCAATCTCTTCAAAACACCATAACTGAATATCGAAAATATTTATATAAATAAGGCAAACTTTTGAGCTCATCACAAAAAAGGTTATTCATTAAATGGCATTTGAAATGTCAATGATGCACACATTAAGAAGAAGAATCAATTTGTTTACTACAGTCAACTTTGATAAACAACACACTCAAAATAAATATTTAATAATTTGGCATGATGTTAGAACCGGCATTGTTGTAAGCCCTTGGCTAAACAATAACGACAGTCTCTTTTTTAATATCAGGTTTAGTTTCCATATTCCTCTTTCCCTTTATTCGCACTTATCCGTTTTGTTTAACCATTAATGGCATAATCTTCTCTTTCAATCTTATCATTCTCTTTCTAGGGGTCTGCTTCCCCTTTCTTTTTCAGCCTATTGATACCTTTTCCATTTTTTCTTTCCCATTTCCTTTTCCCCTTTTCCCTTTTTAGTATTATTGCTTAACGTCACATCTCTACAAACTTTTCATCTCCTCTTCTATAGCTTTAATGAAATAACTTAAAAATAAATGCAGACACTGCCAGTCAGTGACGCAGTCCTGTGTCGGGCAAATGGCGCAGCAAGTACAACGGGCATTAGTCGAATAAACACATAGGTTCTAGGACACCTACCTCCTGGACATCCACCCCCCAGTCAACTACCTCCAGGACGACTACCCACGGAACTACTTCCCCGGACAACTACCCCCAGATAACTACCCTCGGACAACTACCCCCGGACAACTACCCCTAGGACAAGTATCTCCAGGACAACTACCTAGGGTAGTTGTCCGGGGGTAGTTGTCCTAGAGGATAGTTGTGGTAGGGGATAGTTGTCTGGGGGGTAGTTGTCCCAGGGTACTTGTCCTAGGGTAGTTGTCCTAGGGGTAGTTGTCCTGGGGGTAGTTGTCCTGGGGGTAGTCGTCCTAGAGGGTGATTGCCCTAGGGGGTAGTTGCCCTAGGGGGTAGTTGACTGGGGGTGGTTATCCGGGGGTGGATGTCCAAGGTGTATTTGCCGGATACGATAAACATAGACATAATTATAGTTTGTTCAGACTAGACGAAACTACAAAAAGTGAGTCATTGGACACATTTAAGCATAATTTTCGTGAGTCAGGTGTAAATTGACTCATTAGTAACAACCAATGAGTCTCTATTGACTCATTTATATTTCACCAGTGTGTCAATCATGAGCTGACGCATTTGCAAAATGCTTCGACTGACTCACATGGTCGTAAAAAATGAGTCAAGATCGACATAAGAGCATTTTAGAAGAAAAAAGTGAGTCAACTTGAAAGTGAGGCTGTATGCATGCGCGCGCATGCTTTCGTGACGTCATCCAAAATGCGCATTCTCGAGCCATATTTGAATTCCCGATCGACGACGCGACGTCGCCATCTTATATCTTGGATTCAGAAGAGTTTTGACTGCAGCTAGTGAAAAATTGGTACGCATAATTATTCATATGGTTTTAAACGATGATTTTTATGACTGGATTCGTGGGCTGAATCTTCTGATTATTATACAAATGATGCATGCGTTCATTTTACGATATCCGCACTCGAGTTGATGAGGCTGTGTGTAACTTAACTATATATAGATTCTACTGTATCGCACGAAGCCGTGTCGAATGAAAACATGCATGATCTTGCATCATTGTTTTATACAACGAAACTCCTAGATCCTTGTTATTTGATGTAAAACGAATTAATTCAAGATTGTTTCGTGACAGTATGGGTGACAAATAAATCTCAAGTTAAGGCTTAATTTAGTGCGTACAAAGTAGATTTTTAAGATTCGGGTAGCGGGACCACCGATTACATCGCTAAAATGTGATATTTTAGGATATATTTTCCATTGCAAATGTGGACAGTGACTCTGGCATGGTATGGTATGTGTGTGATAGGCCTAGGGAGTAGGGGGGGGGGTCTATGTCATGATGCACCCACAACAAAAAGTGAGTCACCCTTACTCAAATTGATGAGTCACTGGTTTGTCCGTACAGCGAAACACTTGAAGGATCATGAGAGTCACTATGACTCGATACAAATGAGTCTCTTAGATAAATAAGACTCATTTGTATCGAGTCATAGTGACTCACATGATCCTTCAAGTGTTTCGCTGTACGGACAAACCAGTGACTCATCAATTTGAGTAAGGGTGACTCACTTTTTGTTGTGGGTGTAGCGAAAGGAGCTTACAGGCTAGATAACAACATGCGTATAAAGAAACTGGTTTTTAAGAGGTCAGTTGACATGACAGCAGGCTAATGATGAGCGCGCGGTTACGATAAGCCCCGCCAAGTTTTACGATTTTCGTACGATACGACGTTCAGACTAGAACGGGAAGCTGATTCTTTATCGTTACACGACGTTTGTTAAGCTGCTAAAGTAAAAAGTCCGCTAAAGTGTAACCCGACGCCTAAGTTTTTGAAAAAGAAGTTCACTTCAGCGAACAGGCATCGCGGTCGTATCGTACGTGTAATCGGCGACCGCGGAGGCGTGATGAGTAACTGACTGGTGTCCAGCAATCTATGCATCACAGTTACTCATCACAATTATAGTCTTAGTACATTTCATGTAAAGGTGATTAATTTCACTATCAGAAAACCTCCCATTTGTGTAGGTCTAACCAAGGACAAACAGAGGTACATGTATTATATATATATATATATCGTGAAAAGATAGAGTAGTAATGTTTACAGCAGGTAACGCTTTAGCAGCAGGACTACACTTTAACATCGGGTTACACTTTGATTGATTGATTGAGAGAGCTTATGTCTCTCATGTATTTCTTCAAATGTGTACAATTAAAAAAAGAAAAAAGTTAACAGTCCTATGTCATGCATAATTTCATGTTTACATCAATATATTTGATAACAGAGTAATACATACATATGAGCTAGCAATACAAATAAATACAAAGAAATGAAAGAAAAGGGTGTTCCGAAAAAGGCCTCAAGGGCTTGTTAGAAGGGGATCACCAGAGAGAGGGAAAACAAAAAGATATATATCTGTATATTAAAACGTTAGCAGCGGGTTACGCTTTAGCAGCAGGTCACTGTTTAGCAGCAGCTTACACTTCAGCAGCAGGCTACATTTTAACATGAGGTTACAACTTAGTAGCAGATTACACTTTAGCAGCAGTTTACACTTCAGCAGCAGATCACACTTTAGCAGCAGTTTACAATTTAACCAGTGGCGGATCTAACAAGAAGTATCTCTTCTAAAATGACATCCTCTTTCACATAATTACACAATTTAAGGAACCAATATTGGATGATACTCATTGAGAAGCTGTTGTAAGAAGAGATGAGCCAGTTTCGTTAACCGACGTACGATGAGTTTCGGTAGCCTGAACGCAAGGAAAGACATACAAAGGTTTTACCAGGGCGATAAAGTTAACTTGCCAAAGGGTGTTTGTTCCTTGCTGGGAGTCGAACCCTAAACCCTTGGATAGAGGGTCAAGTCAATGAACCACTATTCTACGACACCTTTTGTAGGTTGTCAGTGTGGTGTCGGTCTCGTTGGTGCAACCGGGGTCTTAGTCGAATAAAACGGGGAGAGGGTTAAGCAGCAGTGCCGTTTGTAGTTGGATTTTCTTGTCTTCTTGTTTCCATGTATCGCTTCTCGCGGTTATTCCCGTAGACATAGATGTATATAGGGTACACCAGACCAACCACGTTGAGAAGCATCATCCCAAAGATCACCTGGAAGGAAAGTAATAATTTAATTAAAAAAATGACAAATGATATAAGATCTATATAGAGCGCATTGATTGTGCAAATAATATTCTACTGCACTGCAAGATCCTCTGATGTGCATTACTTACTTTCTGGACAACGGACAGTTAAGTGAAAAGATGTGCTTTATATAGGGATCTTAAAATTTACATCAAAAGTAATTACGAATGGTGCAAGCGGATACGTCGGTTGCAAAACAATAAGATACGTCACAGAGTTAACAATTTGTGTTTGATTGATCGTATCTTCAAAAATTAAAAACTTTCTTATTTTTAATCAGTTTTTGCTCATACTTTCACTAACCTGTTACTCTCATGTTTCTGCTTCTATTAAAAACAAATATCAGAGTGAGCTTCTCCTTCAGCAGGAAACAATCTCTCTTTGACTATTCTCGGGGACTAGTCGGTGGTATTTCTTACTTCCCTTGTCTCTGTGTTTTATTTTTGTTTAACTGCCTGGAAATGAAATCACTAAATAAAGTAATAAATATTATAGATATATTTCATCTTACCCATCGGGGATCACCGCCTAATGATTCCTGGATGACGATGAAGAGAGGATACTGTGTAAGGGAGACTAGACCAGCGATGAAGTTTGTAGCTCCGAACACAGTCGGATAAAATCGCATGGGAAAACTATTCAGAAACATAAAATAAATAAAAGACAATAGTAAAATTTATGTTGAAGTCCAAGGTCAAATTCATAGATTTTCAAATAAGTAGACATATAGATTTAATGATGCTTATGAAAACAACTTTAGGTGCACAAAAGCCAGGTTATATTATCCCAAAGTCCAATCGTTCCTTAAGATAATATTGATAAAATGAGAATAAACAGGAATAATCAAGGCATCTACAGTAATTAGGATAGGACTGGGGGGGGGGGGGGTATTCTATCTTTCGAAAGCACCCCTTTGTCCTTCTCAATTTCTTTATTTCTTCCTTCTCTCTTTCTCTCTCTCTCTATCTCTCTCTCTCTCTCTCTCTCTCTTGCTTTTCCCTCTATCTCTCTCCTTCGATCCCCCTCTCTTTTTGTTCATTTTGCCATTCGATGGGCCGGAGAGGGGAGGGTGCGTCCACCAGCCCCCCCCCCCCTCCACCACCACCTCCTTAGCTCTTGTTACATCTCTCATAGTTACCATCAAAGATCGATAACAAGTGGAAATTTATGGTAGTATCTATACTACCTATAAACTTACCTTATTGGTACTATGGCTGCAGATGCAGAATAAAACATGGCTCTGACAGCCGTCAGTGCGACGAAGGTACCGAACTGTACGGGGAGGTTAGGGATCATCAGTAACAAAGACATAACTATGGCTGTACCCGAAGCCACGGCCAGTGGTAGCCAGCTATCTCGCAAGTCCGCATATGGTCCTTTTGTGTCATCTGCATTAAATGGAAGAGATAAAACACAGTTTGAGGAGTGAATTATTAAGGAAAAACACTTAAAGAGAAGGTTGAGTTCTGGGAAGAGGTGAACAATAATTTGTGAGCGTTATCATTGTATTATGCAAGGGCGGAAGAACTTCAGATACAAAAAAAAAATGTTCCCTGAAAAGCATGGCTCTTCAAATGTCATAATATTCTAAATATAGCATGAACCATCATAAAACTCGGGAATATATTTTCATTTCACATGTTCGTGTAGTCCCATATAAATTTTACAGTGTTTGCAAAGCTACAATGACTGGGCCAAATTTCTTATCATTTTAATGATTCCAGAACCTTGCAGTACACACCAATACTTATATGCTAGATGATCAACCTTTTCTGATCGATTCCACAACATGAATCCATATGTCTAACCCAATGATATATATCTTTGAGAAAAAATATGTCGGGTCACCCCTAAGATATATAAATTGCATGAACTAGTTTGTCAACAATTTTACCTTTCTTCGGAGACTTTTCAGAACGTTGTTTTCGTCGGTCGAAGACATAACCCATAATAGGCGACCCGAACAGACTTCCTATAGTTGCCACAGCTAAGATGTTGGTATAAAAACTTACTATGTAGAAACAAGAAAAAAGAAAGAAAGAACAGCATATTTTAACGTATTCATTACTCTCTCAAAAAATATTGAATCTTATGATTAGATAAAAATAGGATCTCTGAATGTTGAGGGTGAGCGGTTCATACTAACTACACGGGCAGATTCAACACCGGCAGGGAAGGCGTCATTATCTACATGTGGCAAGCAACCCATCTACCAGTCAGACACTTCCAGCGCCTTCATCAGGAAAAACAGATTTGATTTGATTAGATTTGATTTGATTTGATTTAGTTTTGAAGCTGATGAGGCTTCCCTGGATAAACAATATTATCATTATTATTAATAATATTATTATTAAACCAGTTATAATCATTATTACACATCTTCGAAAAACCGAGTACATGCAAATGGCTGAAAAACGGGGAGTAACGCACAGTGAATATAAAGCTCTCAACGTGCAAAATACAAGACTGTTTATTGATTTCAATCATGAAGATTCCCGTGGGTATTTATTACCCCTGTTTCCCATTACACTTAAGTCTAAGAAATGGTGACAGGACATTAGCTCCTGCGACAATTGCTCCAGGCTTTATTTCGTCAAAGGTATAAAGTTGGGGTTGCAATCGGGTTTTAAGTTATGTTTAGGGTTAGGGCTAGGCATGGTGTCAGGTCTATAGGGTTAACTTTATTAATTCGGTTAGGGTACTAGGAAAAATGGGCGCGGAACAATAATTGTCGCAAAATGCAAGCGTCGTACAATCAAAGAGCAGGAACCCTTTTCACAAAGCCTTTTTTCAATGACAAATTACAAAATCAGTGACAAAAATCTGCTGATAACCAATCAGATGTAAGGATTTCAGTAGCTTTTAACATAAACTGTCATTTTGTCACTGATGAATTTTTTTGTGAACCCCCCCCCCCCCCCCAGTACTCATATATATATATATATATATAGTACGTCACCAACCTGTTTCAGTATCACCATCGGCTAGAAACGTCAACCACGGGTTCATGATCCCGATCACAAAGAAGATCTCCCCTTGAACCGCGATCGTCCAGAAGGTCATCAGGAGAAACATGGGCGACCTCAGGACTGACCACGTGGTCGGGAAATCTTCGACTCGCTGGTCTTCGGTCAGCTTATCCCTGGTCGCCCGACGAGCCGCCTTGGAAAGATCGACGTCGACGCGGACGTCGGCCTTGTTATCGAGCTCCTGAACAGCACTTTTGTGATCGGTTTCGCGAATATCGTCAAAGTTCCCATCTTGTGCTTAACGCGAAATGAGAAATGGTTTGCATGAAAATAAATATTTTAAAATTGATGCTATAGGCAATTTTGTCAGTGTTAAGATTATACATTACATCACTTTTGTTCTCGCAGAAATTGTTCTGAATGTATAGTAATGACATGTATCTTCGTCTTCTATCTATTCATTCATTTTTTTAAAACTATTATTATCATTATTATTATCGTTATCAGTATCATTACTGTTGATATTGATATTATTACCATTATTATCATTATCATTATTGTTATTTTCATTATTATTATTATTGTTATTATCATTATAAATATGATTATTATTATTATTATTATTATTATCATCATCACGATCATAATGATTACAATTTACATGAATTTCCGTAGATAAGTACATTAATGATCATTGGTTAGGTCGACAAAGTGAATAAACTTTATATTTTACTGCACGTAGCCTAAACACTTCAATATCATATAAAGTAAAATCTTAAATGTACCTTGCTCATGCTCATGTACGTATCCTGCGTTATCATGGCACATAACACTGCCATTCTCCTTCTCATTATCTTTAACATCCTTCGCTAAGATCGATCCCTCCTTCTCTCCAGTCTCAGGTTCTGCAACTGGGGATGCCGCCCTCTTTTCAATTGACCCATCATCCGAACAAATGTGTTTATTCATTATACCATTCTCATTTAAATTTGAATAAAATCCTGACGACATTACACCATCAAATGCGTCATTAACAGTCACGTATTTATTGTTGTTTTCCTTTATTTCTATTGTCGATCCATTTATCGGATTGTCTGGAATTGGGAGGGGCGGCTCCGGGGGTTCATATTTGTTCTTTGAGCATATTCCATTATCTCGGAGTCGATAGCCTTCAGGTAGGGGCCATGGTATATGGTCGCGAGGAAGGAGGACGGTGTTTATTGTGAAGAAGAGGGTCGAGACGGCCAGGGCGTAGAAAGACGCGCTCATCGATATTCCAGCATCGTACAAGACCTGCAAAAGAGTTTTTATAGTAATAGCAGTAATAACGATAATGATACTAATGATGATTTGGTCTTCTTTACTCAGCTAGATAACCACGTCAGTAGAGACACTCCTCTTCCTATGGACCCTGCAATTACCATTACCCCCAGCAATTTCCAAGTAGCCATTTACACCTGGGTGGAGGGTGTCAAAAGCGGATTAATATCTTGCCAAAGGACGCTAAGTGCCGGGCTGGGATTCGAACCCTCAACCCTTAGATTGAGAGTTTTAGTTTAGTGAATGAACCAGTACCCCACGACACATCCAAAAATTTGCTAACATTAACAACCCAACATTAAATGTACAAGTTAGCAGACCATGAGTCCTAATATCTCAATGGCAGAGCTGTGGTCTCATAACCGGGAGGTCCCGGTTACAAAACGTACCAAGTCGATATGCTAGTGCCTTTTGGTAAATCCACATTACCAAGTCCCTCTTAAAGGAATTAGGTCCTCTGGTTGCTTACCCACAAGCAGGTACTTGTTTTCATAGCAGTCTGGCGAAATTAGTAATTATAATCGATCAATCATCAATCAATGTCAGATTGTGTAATTGTAAATACAGAAAAAGAAAGAATTATAATACTTTAATTCTGATATTAATTAAGTCAACTTGAATGGGTTGCAAAACTGGTCTTCAAAGATGGTTTCAGCAAGGAATAAGTTTCTTGAGAAAAAAACAACACCCAATTATTAAAACTAGCGTAAAAATAGCCAGGAGTAATACAAAAATTGAAAAATAAATACAAAAAACAGTCGCAGTTATGTCGACCTGGAAGTGTTAAAATGCATATTTCAATTTGTATATGCGTATGAGATTGTCTCCACGATAAATGTATCATGAAAATCTGGGGGGTGTTTCACAAAGATCCTAAGTTGAACTTATCTCTAATTTGGACTAAAATATTATGGAAAGCCGTAAGCATCTTTTAAAATATTTTGTAAAAGTTATTTTAAAAGGCATAAAATGTTGATTAAAATCATTCATATTTTCTACTATCATGGGAGATTTCATGTTCTCGATGTGGAATTTATGAAAAGTTTAAAATACTTGAATTTTCCCTTTTGAATATATTTTTATTTTAAGGCTACAAATGGCTCTCCATAACTTTTAAGTCCAACTTAGAGTTAAGTTCGACTTAGGATCTTTGTGAAACACCCCTGGTCATACCTTGATTAACAGTAAAACGCATGCGCTGGAATCGCAGGCCCCGACGATGAGTCCTAGCGATGTTGACTTATACTTCGGAAATAAATTGGATACCTTAAAAGTGAAACAAAAGAAAACAGAAAAGTATAATCATAGTGGTACTAAATATACTAAATATATAATATTTATATACTGATTTCCAATTTTAGAAGAACATAAGAGATTAGAGAAAGACAATGTTATATCATATTTCGATAATTGCACCTGTTTTCATGCTTGTATCTGATAATTTCTTCTTCTAAATTTATGCAATGAAGCTTGTGGTAGATTAGCCTTCTGACAATAAAACGAGTAATAGAATGAACTTCTTCTACTACTTCTACTACCACTACTACTAATATTACTGGCAATACCACAAGTACTATACTACTACTTCTACTACTACTACTACTACTGCTAACACTACTACTACTACTACTACTACTACTACTACTACTACTACTATTCCTACTAATACTACTACTACTACTACTAATACTACTACTACTACTACTACTAATACTACTACTACTAGTACTTCTACTACTAATACTGGTAATACCACATCAAATTACTAAAACAATAACACCTACAACCACTACCATTAATACTTCTTCTGCTACACTACTACTTTTTCTTCTTCTACTTCTATACGACTAGTACTGCCACTAACACTTCTACTACTACTACTACTACTACTACTTCTACTGGCAATACCATATTAATTACTAATAAAACTACTACTACTACTACTACTACTACTACAACTACTACTACTACTATACTGCTACCCGTGGCGGGTCTAGGATTCACTGTCAGGGGAGGGGGGGGGGGGGGTAAAACTTCGAATATTTTGTGACAAGGGAAAACAAATCAGCCTGTGAAAAAATATTTTCTTCCTCCTCCCCCCTGATTTTTTTCGCCGGGGGAATGGGGGGGGGGGGGGCTGGACGTGCCCAAGATGCCCCTATAGATCCACCACTGCCTACTTCTAAATCAACATACCTCAAATCCACAAATGCAGATGAAGATCCCTGTAACCGCCATAATAATTGTTCCCGGGAAGAGGAGATCGGGAACAGACGGGGAGCTGAGCGCCATACACAGGTAAGCTATGAATAGGGATACACTACAAAGAAAACGAGATTTAATTCGTCACTAAGGACGAATTAGGTGATCTGTCGTGAATTTGATGGCGGTGAATGACCTTTTGACATGTTGATAACAATTAAACAAAAGTGGACACTCTTGGAATCGAACCTACAATCTTGAGCACTGCAGACAAGTGGGTTATCCAATAGATTTAAATATCCCCATTGACTACATGTAAATCTGAGAACGGCATAACACGCAAATGAAGAAAAATTCTGACATGTCGCCTTTAATTGCAATTTTAAACTATAATGACGTCATCAAAATAAAAAAATGTGAGACTAATCTTGTAGAGAATTTTCTCAGCTACAACATATCAAAATTTGGAAGGAAATCGATCAATATATACAGAGATACAATAAATTTTCCATAAAAATATGCTGACGTCATAATATGCTAATTCGTATTTTTGAGTTCCAAGGCCATTATCATAACGTCAAGATATACTTAATGGCCAAATGAGACATGAAATCATATTTCCGACATTTTATTTTATTTTTTTTGTCTCGAAAATTGAAAATTTGACATTTGGCTCCGTTGGGGGGGGGGGGGGGGTAAGGTCACCTTATGTCAGCCATGGAGGTAATTTTTTTTTTTTTTTTAATTAAAAAAAAAAAAAAAAAAAAAAAATCCAAAGGGGGGGGGGGGGTTTTAGGTTTTTTTAGGGGGGTTAAAACATGTAAAAATACCAAAGGGGGGGGGGGGTTTAACCCCCCAAACACCCCCCCCCCTGCGTACGCGCAGGTATATATATATATATATATATTTCATTGTTGATATAAATATATATATATTTTTTTTTTGGGGGGGGGGGGAGATAAAATGGATATCTACGCAGGAAACATGGCATGAAAAAGTCATTTAAAGAGCAGAACCATTAAAGATACTGCGATACATTATTTTGCACGTATGAAATGCAATTATGATAATTATGATCATAATGATGATGTAATAATCAAGATGATTATGGGTAACCAACCTGAATATGAGGCGGGTGATGAGGGTACCTCCTCTCGTGAAGAGGATCCCCGACAAGAGCATACTGCATGGTAACATACTCGATGAAATGGTGTAAATAAGCAACAGTCTGGCATCCTGAGCATCGCATTCGACCACGGCTTCCTCCACCGAATCATCACCTTCAGTCGTGATCGATGAGGGGGACGATGTCACCAAGGGCGATGTTGACACGGTGGTCGTGGCGTTGTCGTTGGGTGGTGGGCATAAATCGCTGTAATAACCGAGGTCCTTGAGCACGTAGACGAGAGACGGCCATCCGAAGATGATCGCGGAGTGGAAGAAGTTTTCGATTGCGGCGAACACGAGCGCCACCGCCTCTGCCTTACAACACCCCATGATCCGTAGACGATCAAGCGGGTAGAAGTAATTGAAACGTGCAGTCACGGAATTCGATGAAGCCTGCCAAATAAAAACAAGGGTTTTCCATAATTATAATGGGGGGTGTTATAGGGCAGAATAGGGCCAGTTTGGTGCAGATGGTTCTCCCCCTTTTTCTTTCCTTTCCTTTCCCTTTTGTGAGGGGGGGGGGGCAGCTCCTGTCGCCCCCATGTACCCGCGCCTGACTTTTACAGAAATGGTAACAATAAAATGGTGAGGTACAGTATATAACAATTCACGAATCACTGTGTAATCTATTCGCAAACGTGAATTATTTGTATAAGAATTGCTCCCTTTGTGGGTGACAAGCGCTTCATATTTGCACTCAATATTTTTGTAGATCGTTATTTATATATTTATCCGCTCAATTTGGCGATTTGGTCATGCAACTAAATGTTAAAGGAAACCTCACCCCAAGAAATAGTGTTTATTCTGAGAGATTTATTGTATTCTTACCATTTAATCTACAAGAATCACCACCAAATGGTATAAGAGAGGTAACAAGCAAGAATAAAGTACAGTTTCTCAGCACGACATGGGCACCGCCATTTTCAAGGTAGCGTGACATACTATGCGACATAACTAAAATGTATTCAAATTTATGGATGCTTCCTTCCCATGCGTGTGTGGGGAAGATGCTTTTAATTATCCGTTTATCCTTTGTACTACAATAGGCCATTTTTGGTAATGTAATCAAATTCAATGCACAAATCTTTGTAAAGCCATTACATGTTTGTCATACCTAGCAACAATAATGTATGCAATTCGCATTCTTACTTTTGAAATACAGTTATTCGTAACAGAAATTCGTAAAACTCGTAAAAAACAAACAATACAAAATCACACAAACAAGCATACACGACTAATACAAACAGGAAAGAACGAATCAATTTATTTATTTCCCGCAAATGAAATTGAACGCCCCGAAAGGCTCCTCAGGCCTACCATCGGTGTTAATTTGAATGCACGAACATCGAAATTCAATGCACAAAATTTGGAATCGTACATACGTTCAAGATTTTGTATGCACGTTAAAGGTAAGTACTGGTTAAAAAAAAAAATGAATTCTCACAGAATCAAACGAAACTTACACTGAATGTTCAAGATTACAAATAAATGTCATTTGCCAAACAATTTTGGTAGAACATGTATACTGGCTAAGAAATGAGCATAGAAAGATCAGGAAATCAAGGTTTAATAGTAGCCCCGGCACCATTTGTGTAGTCCCATTTATATCTTCCTGTGTACAGTGCTTGTTACTTTACCAAGACTGGGCCAAATTTATTATGATTTTGATGACTCCAGAACTTTAGCAGTACACACCAATACTTACATGCTACATGATCAACTTTTTCTGATCCATTCCAGACCTTTCTTTCACAATGCAATCGGATGACCAGAACTCACCTTTATCTTTAAACAGTTTTGTGGCCCTGAAAATAAATCGAATACGGACAACAAAATTTGGAATGCCCTTAACTGAAATGATTTTGGCGCTCAGTTAATTTGAATGGTTATCAATTGATTGATCCAAAAGAATGTTAATGCCCAGATTTTAAATCTGAAAGACCGATATCGATCAATTTGAGTGACACAAATGTGAAATCCTATATATCCATGGTATACCGTATATACCTTTACAGCATTGCCCCAGTTCCTCTGTCTCTGCTTGCCTTCTACAATCTGGAGCTAAAGATCACGTTCGAACTCCTTGTAAATGTACCAGGAGATGAAAAATGTGAAATAGTTTAACTTCTGTCATCATCTATGCTATAATTCAGGGTTGAAAATGCCCCCTTCCTCTAATCTCCCTTTCTTTCAGGCGCTGAAATAATTACCATACTGACGTAACACATGGGCGAACAGTAGACTGGATATTTTTTTTTCTACGATGAGGTCACCCTTTGCTTAAGATAATGATGTTTGCAGTTCTTAAAACGCTTAAAATAGCGCTCGCCATAACATTGAAAATGGGGAGACTTAATGAACGATCAAAGTCCGTACGCTGTACAAATAGGGACTAAACAGTCTTGACAAATATGAACAGTCGCTTTAACATTGAATTGAAGGGGGCCGGAGGGGGGAGGGGGGTTCTCATCGATTAAATCCGTCTACAGTTAATAATTGGGGTGTTGGAATTGCTTCATACCCTGAACATCTTTGTAATCGTGTTTAGATAACAATTAAAAGAGAGTCATGTGATGAAAATAATTATCAACGCCCCAAAGGAACATTTTATTGGCACGTGTATCATTAAAGATTAATTCAGTCTGTTTTCAGCCGCTGATTTTTTTTATTGAACTCCCGCTCCGTTATCAATATGACCGCAGTTAAAACGAAGACAGTTCCGCTGTTAAAGGAAACAGCAATTTGGATTGTCATTCAGAACAAGAAGAATTGCGACCCTGTTTACACAAAACCGACGCTTGATAACATGTCCTAAACTTGATTCCAATCACAATGACACTGTTACGACTGATCATGGTCACTCGTTGGAGGTTTGAGAAGGTTGAGATTTGGTTATTGGTACGGGGGAAATATAATTTGTGACACTGTTATGACTGATCATAGTCGCCCGTTGTAGGTTTGAGAAGGTTCAGATTTGGTTATTGGTACGGGGGAAATATAATTTGTGATATTTCTCATTTGTTTAAATAACAATTTGTAAAAACACATCTGGATCCTGAAAAGAATAGCTATTTAAATCGCCCATATTCGACGAGAAGTAACAGAAAAGTTTGGACTAAATCTTCATTCCTTTATTATTGTGTGTGGTCCCACATAGATTTTTCTGTGTGCAGAACTGCAGATCATTTGATCATTCCAAAACGTTACATTACGTATAGATTCTTATAGATGAATCCACTCTCTGTGGAGTGTTCAAGGCGCATGTAGAAATAATAAAGAATTAAACAAAAACATTTTTAGATGATTTTTAAATGAATCCATAAGGTAGGACACAAATGAGCAAAGGACCCCCCCCCCCCAAGTTTATGCAACTTTAGGAATCACAAGGGAACCGGAAGTGGATGAGCGTAAAGATTCCGTGGGGTGTAATTTTGGATTAAAGAAATATTGTATTTCATCATATAGTTTGGTTCGTTAAATAAAAAAGTACCGTAGCCGTTACAAAATCACATAATTTGAATTAGAGAAAATTAAATACATTATTCGTTAAATAATCACCGAGGAAAGAAGTATTATTCAAGAGACGGTGGCAAGACAGGTTATTTATCTGATGTATAAAACTCTTCTTTTTTTGTAGATGAGAGTCCAGAATAGTTTACATTTTGTCCATCATTGATTCTATGATGATCATCTAAACGAGCATCCAACAGTTTTATCGTTTTGTGAAAACGGCTCCTAACAAGGAAATACTGGGGCGAGAGAAGAGTAGGGCAAGAAATGGTGATTGACACATTTAATTCTTATTGGATCTATTATTCGATGGTTAATGTTTCCTGCCCATTAATTCTCTCAAACTGGACAATGGTAAATGACTAATTCTCCACAGATGAGTATACATTGATAAACAATGTTATATTCTATCGATTTTTAAATTGTGAATGCTGAAATTCATTCTCATGAAACAAGAAGTTCAAATAAGTTTCGATTGCCCTCTTTTAAAATAACCTTTCTCCAAAGGAACATTGATTTTAATGGACCATCACTATGGAATCTACTTCCTAATGACATTGCCAGTTCTTTTATTTGATAGATGACGTACTACGAATTAGATGTGTCGTACGACCTTTTTTTCACGTTCCTTTTCCTCTCTTTATTTTGTTCTCTCTTTCTTATCATTTTATCTTTGCCCTTTTTCGCAAAATGAGGAAGAGACAAAGATAGAGAGAAAGGGGGGGGGGCACGCGCCCCATGTATTCGGATGCTACTTTATCGATCACACGAGAGAGGGAGAGAGAGAGAGAGAGAGAGAGAGGGGGGGCGGGGGGGGGGGGCACGTGTCCCACGCATTAGGATGCTACGTTATTAATCATACAAGATTCCAAATTTGAGCCATTAAGACGATCGCAAAGACTCAAGAAGTAACACTTCATGGCGATTTCAAGTTTCGGTCGGATGATGCAATATCACGTTCGCATAATTATTTCAATGCGTGAATCATAAAGCTGTTGAAATGACCTCAGGTCGATTTTAGAAGTTTAGATAATACTCGCTCGGACAGTTCGGGGGGGGGGGGGGCGAGGGAGTCTTGCTTGTGGTAAGGGGGGGGGGCAAAGATGAGTCATACATTGAGGTTTTCATAAACTGATGAAGACGGGAAATGCACCATCTCTCTCTTTCCCCTCCCCCTTCTCTCTCTCTCTCTGTCTCTCTCTCTCTCTCTCTCCCCCTCTCTTTCTCTATCTTTCTTCTACACCCCACACCTCCCTCCCTACGCCACAGCAACATCTCAATACCAATCCCTACACACGAACTGATTATGAATACAAAATTTCTTTAAACAAAAAATATAATGGGCAGATATCTGTATATATATTCAGTTACCTGATATTCTTCCACAAAATTCACAAGCAAGTTTCTAAGGCAACAGAGAAAAACAATCTCACAAAATCATTCGATTGTTTGGAGCCCTAAGGGTGTTGACTCATGATCATGCTAAACAAAGAATAAAGCCCCCGTGGTTCCAAACATACCTCAGCAGTGTAGGATTTGAGAGTTCAGGGTCCAGTTTAATACCGGAAAAAAATTGTGATTAATCGCAACTGATTTCCGATTCATATCAATCGCAATTTAATATATCCATAAGAGATAAGAGACTGCTAATTCAAGGTAATACAAAGTTTTGGGAAATTTTGAAAATTGGGTGAATAGTGATTCCTTACAATTTTGATACATTTGGATGTCCCTGTGGATGTTTTATAAGCACTACAAAATTTAGCCCCTAAAACACTTCCGCTTTCGAGAAAAATTGAATATAAAAATTTACCGGTGCTCCCGGTAAATTTTTGATAAATTTCAAATACGGCCTACGGCCGTACAATGGTAGCTGCGACCATGAAATTATCAGAATATGTAGTAGTGACATATAA